CCGATCTGAATGGCTACAGCGTTGACAGGTAGGCTGCTTTCTGCAGGCTGTGGGGAGACGTGCCAGGTATCCCGAAGATGCCTTCTGGTGCCTGTGAAGGCATGGCCGCAGCTGTGTGAAGACAGCTTTGGGTGCAGGTTTTATTGTCATAGCTCCATCGTCCTCTCCTGCGCAGGCCTGCCAAGGCTGGGAGAGAGGTCTAAGCATCAGGTAATTCTCAAACGCGTGTGGATGCGGTAGGAGAGCTGAAGCCTGGAGAAGAAGGATGTTGGCTCGGCTTGCCTGAGCATGCCGATGGGCTGTAGCCAGCAGAAGGGATCTGTGATTTTGGCCCAGATAAGGATGGAGATGTTCTGCTCCTGCAGTCTCTGCTTGGGCTATGACACTGAAGTTTTGCTGGGGTTTTAGGAGCGTGACAGTATCAAATGCTTAAATCAAAGGGGAGAAAAACGCTCAAAACCCTGCTCTAAAATCTGTTTGTAGGCTTCTGAGGAGCTGGAAGGTCTTCAGAGGAGGATACAAAGGCAAAGCAAAAAATGCTGCAAATGTGTGTTTTCACATTTTCTTAGTACAATGAGTTTGTTAATGCCCAGGCTGTCATTCTTGGTCATGGGGAAGGGACGATCAGGGACTTGGTTAAAGTAGAACTGTAATGTGTTTCTAAAGAAAACAAACTTTATTTAATATAGTGAGCTGAAAATCTCAGTTAGGGAGCTGTTGCTTCATAGCACATATCATATATTGGGTGGAAAAATAAGTCTCTCTTCTTGGAATACCAAGTGGCTTCCAACCTGGAGGTTGGAAGTGTGATTACCATTTGTATTAGCCTGCTGCCTGCTTGGGTAGATCAGCCTGGTCCGTCTCTTGTGTTCTTAATCCACTGTGAAAGTGGAGGTGGGATGCTAGGTAAGATGTACCTTTGATTTTGATCCCATGTGACAGTTAAGGTACTGTACTTTGGGTAATAATTCTTTCTTCTTTACCAACTGTCAGAGTTTTCTTTTTCTTGCTGTCACTCTGCATTGGCCAATCAGTAAAAAAAAATTTTTTTTTCTTCCCTGTGTGAGTTTTTCCACATTCTTCTCCATGCCCCCTCATAGCCTTTCATAAACATTACTTGCTTTTTTGTGGAATCTCTTCCTCCTTTTATCATCTTGCTTATTTTATCAAATTTTTATGATTTTTTTTTTTTCCTCTTTTCTGCTGTCGTCACTGTGCTGCAGAAGACCTTCTTGGGCCTACGCTCAGGCTTGGACTTGCTCATATAGTTACATCTATCAGTGGGACAAAGAGAAGAGCTGCCTGACTGCTGGTTGGCTTTTTTCTTAAACTGGCAGAATGTTGCTGCTAAAAGCTCTGTCTATGTAAAGAGTATGATTTAGAATAGTATATATACAAGAACATATTTGTACTTTTTTATACTAACCTCATAAATGCAGGTGGGACCTCAGGGTGATTTGGATGGGGCAGAATTATAATAATAATATGGCACAATATAATCACTAGCTCTGCTGGAGTTACAAATTTTTGTTTCATGGTCAGAACTTTCAAACATGTAAATGTTTAAATTTTTCGGTGCACTTTGGGAATATAGGGAAGAATTAGTGTTTTATATCTTGAATTTTTTGAGTGGGATGGGGGGGGGGTCTGTGGAAGAGGGGCAAGGAAGAACGTGGAAAGTAAAGCTGTATTTTACAGGATCCAAGTTTGCCATTCCTGTGAAGGGATTTGCGAACTGACACATGAGGAAACAAACCCTGCTTCTGGGAGGAGTGCTGAGAATAAATTCTCCGGGAAATCTGCAGTGCTGTAACTAAGGAGTGGAGT